CAGACGAGTCCAGACGACCGGGCTGGAAAGTCTGGGGAGCAGATCCAGCGGGCCTTGGTTGAGAAGGTTCGGTGCCATTTCCTCTTGCAAAGCATGGTGAATCCCGGTTGGAGCAGGAGAGTCCTCGTGGGGCCACCCACCCCTTCTGTTTCCGATGCAACGGCCTCGGAGGAAGACACCCAGGGGTGCTTCTGAGTGTCTCCTCTCCCGCGATCCCAAGGGTGCGAATACCTCTCCGAGCGCTACCTGAATGGGCAGGACTTCCCGGACCCCCAGGACGCCTGCGGTCTCTGCTCCTGCCTGGGCGGCTCCGTCACCTGCACGAAGAAGCCCTGCTTCCAGGCGCCCTGCAGCCACCCTCGCCGGATGCCCGGACAATGCTGCCCTGTGTGCCACGGTGAGGTCCGAGGGACGTGGGGCAGGGAACGTGGGGAGGCGTGATCGTCCGCAAGGGAAAGGGGTGGACAAAGACCCCACTGGCTTGGGGGGGCCTGTCCTCACACCCCACGCTTGACCAGCTCTGTTAAAGGCCACACAGCTGCATTTACACAACCTATTAACCAAGATTAGGGTTAACTTTGTTAGTTGTTTTTGGGTTTAGCACACTGTGCAAGCCCAGCCCATTTATTTAGCGTATGGTTCCGCATATTGCGCGAACCCGGAAAGTTACTTCTCAGTTGGCAGGTTAAGCCTATTGTGCGAATCCAGCCCTTCTCTCCCAAACATCTAATTGCAGGAAAACACAGGAACACTTATCAGAGGACTGAATCAATGTCCTGGGGGGGAGTGTTAAAATTGGGCCAAGGCCACATGGAATTTAACTGATGGCCGTATTGGGCCTCAGGGCCGCAGCTTGCCATCCCTGCTGATCTTTAAAGCTATTTGCAGGGTTAGGTTCCAGCAAGACCTGCCTCAAAATGAACTGAGAAGTAGTCTGTATCTGAAGGACACACACAGGAACACGCCTTGGCCATGGTGACGCCACCTGCTTAACCCAGTCAACTAAAGGACAGCTGCACTTGCGCAACATCTTAATCTTGGTTAGTTAAGTTCTTCGGCCTTTGCTGCTTATGCAAACCCAACTGTTTGGGTTCATCCTTGGTTTAGCAGCTGGATTCCTAACAACGTGCTGGGCCTAAAGGTTGCTCATCTGTTTCAGCTCAGCTAACCCTCTTGGGCAGTCTCAGCCAACAGATTGCTGAGATATAGAACAGGGATGAAGTCCACATACGAGGTCGGGGCGATGTGCAGCCACTGAAATACAAAAGCAAAGGCCAATTTTATGAAAAGGCACAAACTTTCATCAGCTGCCGCTCGCTTCTCCAGATGTAAATTTTATTCAAAGCTTTCGTGAGCCACGGCTTGCTTCGTCAGATGCCCGGAGTGGCAAAAACATCTGATGAAGCTAAGGCTACTCTGGGCATCTGATGAAGCGAGCGGTAGCTCACGAAAGCTGACGCCTTTGAATAAAATCTGTTAGGCAGAAAAGATGCCACCAGAGCCCTGAATCCTAACGGGAAAATGGGCAGCGCCTCCCTTCCTCTCACGCTGGAGATCCTGCCAAGCTTTACCCAACCATCTCCTGTCCAGGCAGGGCTTGCTCTGTCTCCCCTGGCCTAAACGATTCCTCTTATCAAGTTCCAAGATGTGCCAGGAGCAATGCCCCCTGGCACCAGCCACAGCCAAGCCCAGGGTTCTGGTCAGCCTCCACCTGCTTCTCTTCCTCTCGCCAGACAGACTGCGCCCTTAACGGGGTCATTGTTGCCAATGGCCAGGCCATTCCCGATCCGGAAGACCCTCTCTGTTCTCAGTGCACCTGTCAGGTGAGTGTGGCGATCACCTGAGCAGGTGGGCAGCGGGGCAAAGAGAGGGAAAGTTCCGGTTATGGGGCTGGAGTGGGGGACGTTCTCTCTGAATGACCTTGGATATGGATGTCTGGGGGAGTCAAAAAAATCAAGATGACCTTGTGATCAAATCCTGGCCCCTTTTATACATGCATGTAAACCAGTATTTTTCAAGCTTGGCAACTTTTAAGATGTGCGGACTTCAACTCCCAGAATTCCCCAGCCAGCAAAGCTGGCTGGGGAATTCTGGGAGT